TGTCTTGTTAGCTTGTCTTTATTTGTTCTCTTGAACAGCAACTCTGCCTCTGTCCTCATCTCACACATTGGGCACACATTAGAGGCTCAAGTAGCCAAGGCCTGTACGAACCAGAGCAATGGTCACGCATCAGAGAGTTGATGGAGCCGTAGGTTTCTCAGACTAATACATAAGTGCAGTTAGCATGGAGTATAAGCGTTGACATGCTTGTTCTGCTCCAGATTCTTCCAGAGGATCATGTGTCTCATGATTCAATAAGACAACACAAGCCCTTTTCAGTTAGCCCTCTCACATAAAAGGAGCATCACCTTTCATTAACAGGAGCAGGTCTCTTTAAAGGCGTGATGCTTATCATTATGTGGGTCTGTTAGCGGTATTTCCTGTTTCTCCATCCAGCTCAAACCAGTTTGTGTTTATCAGCCCAACAGAAGCAGGCTGTACACAGAGCCAAAACAGACTCCATGTGACCTCCCATCATCTGTCTTAATCTGTGTGTGTGTGTGTGTGTGTGTGTGTGTGTGTGTGTGTGTGTGTGTGTGTGTGTGTGTGTGTGTGTGTGTGTGTGTGTGTGTGTGTGTGTGTGTGTGTGTGTGTGTGTGTGTGTGTCCTGATGAGTCAAGGTAAAACAGACAGAACAAAGGTTGAGAGCCTTTCGTAAACAGACATGTTTTGACTGTGGCTGATGTGCAGCTACCATTTATATCTGACATGCCCTGAACGCATCCTCACTCTGGACCGGGGATGGTCTCCAAAGCACAGATGCCATCAGTTAGACTCCACATCCATCTCAGACTGAAAGTTTATCCAGTCCAGCTCCTTGTTAGGAACACAAGCAACCATTTGGAGCTGGTCTTCTACAGAGGTGGTACTGGTTGAACTCTGGCAGGTCTGCCCCTTCTCCTGCAAGATCTGAAGGTGTAGCCCTGGAACCTCATGGAAAATGTGGATTTTATCAGCACCAAATTTCTCATCCCTGATTATCTGCAATGCTGTTTTTGGTTTATTAAATGAGATTGGTGGAACTCATAAATGATATTTAGAAGAACTCTTGTCCACAGAGAGGCTTCAGCCCTTCTAAATAATAATGAATAATAATGATAATGAAAGCTTTTTGTTCCTTGAGTGCTCAGTTGAAAATGATATCTGTGGAACAGTCAGTTGATTAAAGGCCATGACTTGATCTAGGTCAGAGAGAGAACCATGATCTCATTACAGCAGCTAGTTACAAGAATTCATGTGAGACAAACGCTGAAATCATGGATATTTCAGAAGATCAGCTTTGCAAAGTGAAACCAGGATGAACCAAGGGAAGTTCATGAGAAGGTAACTTTAGTTGTGTCTGGCTGTAGGGCCAGACCTACAAGAACAGTATGGGAACTTGTTTAAAACAAAACCTTCCATGAGCTAATAAAAAGCAGTACATATTGGTAAGCTTGAAACCACGTTCAACAGAACCAACATGGCCTCTGTCAGACATGTGTTAAAGGGATGGTTTGGTCTGTTTGGGTAAGACAACCCTTTTTGAAAGGTCATTAGGTGTTTCTATGGATATGGAAGGTAGTATCCTAACACATGTTTGTATGTATGTGTTACTCTTACATAAGTAGAAGGATCTTCTGCAGGTTGCCACAGATCGGAGTGAATGCAACAACTTTTAGTGTAAATAACACCAGGTGCATGGCTGTAACCTAAAGACAATGTTACATAACCCATGCTACGCTATGCTAACTCTGTCCTCACAGACAGGTTTTGTGTTGCCTTTCAGTGTAACAGGAGCTGCTGCTGCTTTAATGTCTTACTCATCTCCTTAGAGCTGCAGATCAGTGAAAGGTGCCATGCAAATAAACCCTTCTTCTTCTTGGTCAAATGCACCAGTGTTTCTTTTTCCATACCAACATCACAACAATGACATTAGCTACAACCATGTGGTTGATCATTCTTGTCCGAGTTGTGATTAAGACTCTCTTTTTACAACTACACAAATTGAATTTGTAATTATAATATATATACATCTGATTGGCTTCTGAAAACCGCTTTGTCTTCTAACATCAGGCCCCCTCTTTTTCATTTCCTTTTCTGTGATATTTTTCATTTAAGACCATTTTTGGTTTGGATCTGAAGCTATTTAGTTTTTCATGCATTTTGTATAAAATGCTGTAATATTCACAATCCTCATAACTATTAATCTAAAATAGATTATTTTTATGTGCTGATGCTCAGGAGGTGGAGTTTAATCAACAGTGTGTAAAACTTAAATGCAGCTGAAAATCACACCGATGTTGGTTCTGTTTCCAAATGTTTTATTTGTTTAGAAACTGGAGCGGGCATCACGTGCTTTTCCTCACCTTTGGTTCAGACATCAGAATCTGATCACCACTCCCAAAAATTGTTCATAAGCAACTCAAAACAGAAGGTCTGTGTTTAAACTGCACTTGTCCTAAATCTGGACAAAGTGTTGTTCTATTTGTCCATTTGTCTTCTTACAAATAAAAAAGAAACACCTTTGGTTTGTGTTATGGAAAAATTTATGTTTATTAAGTCTAGATCATGGACTCAATCAACTGAATGTAAATGTATTGCTCTATGCCTCTCTGCATGACACACCCACACAAGACACACACACACATTCTCTCTCTCTCTCTCTCTCTCTCTCTCTCTCTCTTTCTCTCTCTCTCTCTCTCTCTCTCTCTCTCTCTCTCTCTCTCTCTCTCTCTCTGTATAAATAAACTCTGTGACCGGATGTTCGGGGCATTTTGCTTCGTGCATCATGCCACAGTTATAACTGTTTGACTTGTCTGCTCATTGTCTCCTTCTCTCTTCACTATAGGAAATGGGTTATTGATAAACATATTGATAAAATCCATGACAGTTTGAATCAAACAGGTAAAGATGAGATTAGTTAGTTAAACTGATAACAAATCATCAATTACCACAAAGACAACAGGAGTTAATCCAAAGAGGACTGGTGAGTGATTGGCATAAGCCTCTTGGTACCTGCAGAGTCAGAGTGGGGAAGGCTGCAGCAGACGGATTTTAATCCCGTCTTTTCACCTGGTTCTGTAATCTTACAATATGTTCTACGGTTTTCCAACAGCTGACAGAGATTGTGTCCATTGTGACCCATGTGAAGTAAAACATCCCTCAGCATAAAACTTGAGAGCTGTTGCTTTACAGTTATAAAACGGCAGGAGCGAAAACAACATTAAACCCTGATGTGTATGTTTTTGCTCCTTCCTGCAGTTAGACACCCTGCAGGAGGGAATTAGGTCAGCCGCTAACACCAGCTCTGTCCTACATCTGCTTTGTTGGCAGAAAGCAGCGGCTGCATGTTGAGGCCATCCCTCTTCAGGCTCTAAACCAGACCGGTCCACTTTGTTTTTCTTCTATTTCAGGACTTTTCTCCAATAATGCCTCAAGACATACAACAATATTCACAAAAAGGTCAGCAAACAAACCCTGGTAGTGAGATGCAAAGGTTCTGACTAATAGCCATTGTTGTGTTTGCAAAGGTTGATTATTTTTGGTGGCCATCTTCATCTAGGTTGACTACAAATGCTAACTATTTGTAGAAGTGGTTTATGAAGTTTCATCATCCAGTGGATCATGAGAAATGGTCTACTGTTGTAGTATTTGGTGCATTATCATGACCATATGACTCGTTACAACTCTAATTCAATTCAAGTTTATTTATATAGCGCCAAATCACGACAAGTCGTCTCAAGGCACTTCACATGATAAACATTCCAATACAATTCAGTTTTTTAAGCCAATCAGTAAATGTTTCCTATATAAGGAACCCCGCAGATTGCTGTAAAGTCACTGACACTACAGCAATCATACTAAGCAAGCATTTGTGACGGTGGAGAGGAAAACTCTCTTTTAACAGGAAGAAACTTCCAGAGGATCCTGGCTCAGTATAAGCAGCCACGACTCACTGGGGATCGGGAAGACAGAGCTGATACTCTCTCTCTCTCTCTCACACACACACGCACGCACGCACGCACGCACGCACACACACACACACACACACACACACACACACACACACACACACATGTGTTATGAAGTGAACATGTGATAGACAGCCCCTGATTCCAAAGATGCAAAATGATAGAACTGGTTAAATATCACAACTTCACTTTCTACTGTATTTGGTGGAGATTTAATGTTAAACGTGAAAATGATTTGGAAAAACAACTAAGTAAGTTGTGTATCGATCAGAAAATAAATCATGAATTTACTTTTTTTCTTACAAAACATCTGAAACACATTAGAAATGACTAAAGCAGTTTCTCTCCTAAAAACATCACTCAAGCATAGCTGAGAGGAGAAAATGATGAAATGTTCTCTACACCATTCTTAAAATTCCAGTTCACTGGAACTCACTCATTATCTTGACTTATCCAGTCACTAGGGTTGTGGGGAGCTGGTGCCTGAACAGGTCTCCTGTCCATCTCCACTTACCCACACCTAGGAACCAGTTAGATTCTCCAACAAACCCAAAATGCATCTTTTGACCTGCGGAAGGAAACCATAGAACATGCAGAAAACCCACACATGCACGAGAACTTGCTAACTCTATTCGGATCGGCTGCAGCCGGGATTTCGACCTGCAACCTTCTAGCTGTGAGGCAACAGCTAAAAACTGCTTTAGGAACACTATTACAATAACACTATGTATTTAGTTATTATTTAGTAATTTTGAAGTGATGTTCACACCCTATTCATCCAGTTAGGACCCCACCTGCTGGGCATGACATCACTGAAAGCGAGAGGTGTCCAGGAACAGAGTCCTCAGACCATAGCTGACAAAATAATATGAATTCAAAATTATCTGGTTGTAAACCCCATAATAATACGAGGCCATTATTTATTTTGTGCTGCAGCAGCACCAGACATGTGGTGGGATACAGAAAAAATGTAGACGTTCGGTTGAAAGAAAAACGGCACTATAGATTAATAATTTTCCAATTCTGAACAATAAAACACAAGCTGCTGCATTATTTTATAAAATATATCTTTTATTTTATCAAAAGTTGATCATGACAGCAGTAAGATCATGATAATAATAATATTTATAATGCACAGAAATGGATAAAAACAGCAAAAGACTATATGAAAACTAGTGCAAACAGAAAATAGATACAAAAACATATTGCACTTGGTAATTTGATGTTTCAGGTGGATGAAGTCATTATTTAACATTCTTAATCTGATATATTTATCTGTAAACATTTCTTTTATTTGTTGCTTTTGTTTTATCGATCAAAAAGCTTCGTAACATCCTCACACACAAAGGGTCTGCAGCTACAGGAGCAGAAACCAACAGACCACTTGCTGTCCTGGCTGGTCCCAGCTGTGCTGTATCTTATTAAACAAACACACTCTGTAACACACACACACACACACACACACACACACACACACACACACACACACACACACACACACACACACACACACACACACACACACACACACACATTCGAGCTCAAAGCCCTTGAGGTGGTCGTTGACGTGACGCGTTTCGGCCTAATCGTCATTAGTTTCTGCTTTACTTTAAAAAAAATGAAATCTTTGTTCATGAAACAAGATCATTTCCACCTGACGTCTGGTCGGTGACGGTGCCACCTTCAGGCCCAAATCATGAGCTCAAGCTACAACCGAGGACAGCTTTCGTCCATTTGTTATGTGCCCCTTTAAGAGTGCTATACGTTTTTGAACAGAACCTACGGTAGCATGTAAGCCCGCTGCGATCTGAGAGGAAAACAGTAAGAACGGCATGTGCAAAATTCACTGTGAGGCAGGAGGAGGCGTCCTCTGAGCAGCCGGGAGGTCTTCTTCTTTTTCTACGGTGCTGCCAGAGGACACCCTGAAAACAGGATCTATGAAGAATCCTTGGTCCATCTCTTCTACGGATCACCACATGATCTGAGGGTCCAGCCGTTTCCATGGTGACGTGCAGTCTGTTGAGAAGCTGGCTGTGTCCAACGCTGGCTTGTTTAAGCTGAAGTCTCCAAGCTCCTGAGCAGTCTTCAGCGAGATGGACACATGTCCAGTCTTCTGATGTCTCCGGTCCCACAGACCTCCACACTGTCAGGGTACGGGTCCGCCTGAAGGACAGGGACTTATTTAATCATTTGGTTCTTATAGAACAAAATATGCAAATAGTTCTATGTTCAAGAATAACAAGAAAAAACAACGAGATGAAACCATAAGAGAGCACCACCGCTGGTAAGATTTACACTTTTATTTTGAAAAGATCTGGAAGTGAAAAAGCCCAAACTCAAACAGCACCATCTCGCCTCATCTACACTCAAAGAAATAAAAAAGTTGAATTTACTAAACCAAGTTATGTCGACTGGTTCCACTAGACTAGTTGTTTAGATGTAAAGTGTAACCTACGTTGTTATGTAAATGCACATGGGCCTTTATGTTTAAACCACTGGGTTTAGTGGATCCAGTTGACATAACTTTAAGTAAATTCAACATTTCCTTTGTTAAGAGTGTAGTTTCCAGAGTGCTTTATGACTTGTTTACTCAGCACTGATTTAAATTATTCTCACTCACTCATCAGACTGCACACGTGTGCATGAGTGAGAAAAGACATTTATATGAGCATTCCTAAATCTTTACCTCCGGCCAAACGTTTTTGTTCCAAGCTTACAGGATTTTTAAACGGGCTGTTTTAACCGAATCTCATTTTAGAGTTTTTATGAATATTTAATCTAAGATTTTATACAAATTGCTTTGACGCAAGTGATTTTTAAAATCTGATATTGTTTAGTAGTTCTTGTTGGATGTGAAATGTTGTGTTTTATTGTACTGCCTCATAATTATGTATCATTTTCATTAAATCATTGTTTGGCATTTTTTATAATTCTATTCTATTTTTATTCAGAAACTATCTATTTACATGTATTTACTATATGTTTTCTTAATATTGTATTTCATTGTGACAGGATGTTTGTAATTTTATATATGCAAGAAAAGCACAAATAATGTTATTACTATTTTTTTGCATTTCCTTGTGGACAAACACACTAATATTGCTAATGAAGCGAATTTATTCATTTTTATCAGTATTATTACCTCATATTTTATTGTACTTTAATCTATCCAAAAATTTTCTCGGGTTTCATTTATCTTTATTTATTTACCGTAAATCCTCTAATACAGGCCCGGGCCTGTATTTGACTCAAGCTCATCAAGCTCCAGGCCTTTATTGGAAGGAGGGCCAGTATTAGAGGCAGGCCTCTATTTCTATTTGAGCAAAATGAGCTAATGGTTCGCTGGAGTTTTTGACAATTAAAATTGCGCCCACATTTTCAAAGTTAAACACATTTCTTTTAACAACGGTAGTTCCTGCTTCAGCCCTCTCCCCCCTCCCCCTGCGCAGCCGCAAACTCACTGATGTGCCTGCGGAGTTCCTGCTGCTCTAAACATTAAAGTAATTATTTCATTTTCTGTTCCTCATTTCTGATGACCTTCAATGGTGTCTGTTTGTTGCAACAGCAGGTACAAAAACTAACTTGTTTTTATTTGACTATTTTTCTGTCCTGCCTGTTTATTATCTTCCTGCATCTCCTCTCAATCCTAAAGAGAAACTGCTACCTGGGTTCATATATATTCACCTTATGAGTTACCTTTGAACTGCAGTTCTAAAAGATCTACCGACCACAAAAACAGCGGAGCGCTCGCTGTTTGGCGGCCGTATCAGTGATCAGTGCGTCGGAGGACAAGGTGATGCCCGCAGCGCCCCGCTCCACAGCATGCAGCGAAACGCATCAGGCGCAAATAAAAGACAGAAACCATTAAAGGAAATGAACTGACATGAACGATCGCGTGTTAAATTAGTTTTTGAGGTGGCGACACCTGATTGTTACTGTGGCCGTGCTCAGGAGGCAGATCTACCGACCGCGAAAACAGCGGAGTGCTCCCTGCTTGCCGGCCGCATCAGTGATCTGTGCGTCGGAGGACAAGGTGATGTGCCCCGCTCCACAGCAGCGATACACATCAGGCGCAAATAAAAGACAGAAAACATTAAAGGAAATGAACCGACATGAACGATCGCGTGTCAGTACCTACGGTCTGGCACAGCGCGTTGCTGATCACAGAGAATGTGATCATACGATAATTCAATAGGGAGCGTGGTTTCACAGACGCGGAAGTGATAGCGTCGGTGAAACGCCGGCTGCTCTAGGAAACCCCCGAGCGTTCGAGCGTCAACGAAGTGACACGGAAATGCCGGGCTTTCCAGAAGTAAGTAGGATAACTTACTATGAGCTGATAGTTCGTTGGATTGATCAGTAGGTTGGAAACTCTGATCATGAATCTGAAGAAACGATGACTGAGTGGTGAGCTGGAAAGGCGACTTCCGTTTATAGCCGCGGTTTGTGACGTAGGTGCGACGTGGAGGGAATCCCCGCGAGGGGCATGCTGGGAGTCCCTACTTCGCGGATTTTCACCTATCGCGGCCAGGTCTGGAACGCATCTACCGCGATAAACGAGGGATTACTGTAGTTCATACACCCCCTACTGCTGCTCTCCAGAGTGTTCTGCAGCATAATCAGCCCGTTCTCTTTGAACTTGATAGTGTAATGACCTGGCTGGGGTTGTAAGCCAGGTGCATTCTGGGTATTGTGTTATATGTGTTTCCTATCGTTCTGCTAGTTCCTATGTGCTGATTTGCGTGTTGTGTGAGTGTTATGTAAGCCACAGGGAAGGTGATGTGTGTTCTGTGGAGCGGGTTGAAATAGCATGGTTAACTGACACCGTGACTCTGTGTGGTAGGAGCGTGATAGAGGATCGTGTCTGTAACGTTACAAAGCGTTGAAGAATAAGCCTAATAAAGGTCTGCGTGAACCCCTACTGCCTCCTGCTGGTTGATTTGGGGACTATAACCCTGCCGCTGGGACGCTCGTACTTGCTTGTTACCACATTCCATCCGGCCACAATAAGAGACCGGCCATTATTTACCTCCGCTGACTCTGACACCGGCCAAAATTGGAGACCCGGCCTTTAATTGAATACCGGCCTGTATTAGAGGATTTACAGTATGCATAAAAATGATGTATTTGATTTAAGATTTTAGATTTTTCATTTAAAATTCTATTAAGCTAAAATGTCATTGTTACTGTAATTTTACATTTCTTTTAATACATTTAGACCAGATCCTATATATTTATTGTTTTATTACAATCTAAAACTCAGTAACGTCTTTTTGTTCCTACTTAAAGTAACTGTTTGTACTTTCGTTATTACTTAAAACACAAATTAAAACCTTTTGCTAAGTAACTTTATTCAGATCCAACCAGCTGTTGCTGTTTTTGTACCATGCTAGAGTCCTTGAAGGGTTATGCTATAAATCCTGGTCCCTTTATGAACATAAGTTAGAGCACTCTGATTTCATCTTCTTTGACATCTACAGCAGTTGTTTAATTACTAGAATGACAAGTCCTGACTGTGTGTGCATGCGTACCTCAGAGTAGAGTGGTGGAGGCAGATATCTGAACTCTGTGATGTATGTCAGCAGAGATCCCTGGTCCTCGCCCTCCCCCCCAGATCTATCGCAGCCCTGCAGACAGTCCTGCCTGTAAGCCTCTGATATAGCCAGGTCGCTGTAGCTTGGCGGGGCTGCAGAAAAACAAACAGGAATAAGAGATCTCTCTGTTCCAGAAGCCCACGAGGAGAGAAAACACGCCTCAGTGTGTTTGCAGCGCCTACCCTCAGGTCTCTCGGACAGGCCCAGCCAGCTCACGCTGCTGCAGTTGCTGCTAATGCTGGAGGTCCGGGTGCTGCACGCATGCAGAGGTATGGTCCCGATCACCAGCGGCAACGACAGAGAGAGGTTCAACCCTCCAGGAATGTCTACATACACCTGACAGTGGAGAGTTGTGGTTTCAGGCTCGTGTTCACACATAAAAACAGGTGGCAACACAAGATATTCATGTGAGAAACCCAAAATCCACGTTCGTTCTACTCCCCGCTGCCTCAAACATCTTAGCTTTACTCTCTTGTAAAACCAAACAATGGAGCTCAGAAAGATGCCCTCAGATCGACTTTCTCCAAATATTTTTAACTGAAGTTTAAGGAGCTGGAGATGAAAAACGGAGAAGGTCATCTGTCACGTAACGTTACTATCAGACAGGTCGTATCTAATGACACGGTGCTATCAGCGGTCAGTAATAAGCAGCTTGTTCACAGTTGTCAAAGTTTATGAACACTTGAGTTGCAGTTTATTACGATTATCACTGTTTTACACTAGGGTTGTCACGGTAACAGGTGTAGCGGTAAACCCCGGTAAAAAAGTTGACAATAATAATAACCGTATTGTTTTTAAAAAAACTATATTATCTCGGTGGATTACCGTGGCTGCGGTGTAGGCGCGGTGACCCTTACCAGCCACCGTATCATCTGCTGAAGTTGCTGGCGGCAAATGCGCACTTTGTTGTTTACAACCAAAACTTTCTTGAAGCTAAAGCTGAAATAATGGTCAAAGGAGGGGACGGCAGTGCTCAGGAGGACATTTTTTATCCCTCAAAGAAGACAAAGTGGGAAGTACGGGCATATTTTGGACATTTGACGAATGCCGAGGGACAGTTTATAAAAGACGGCTATCCTGTTTGCAGCACGTGCAGGAAAAGTGTCTGTAAACGGCAGCAACGCTTCAAATCTCATGACACATTTGCGTGACCATCACCCACAACTCTACAGTCAACGCAAGGCAAGCTAACGTTAGCGTTTTAGCTAAAATGCGTGATCCGAGGATTTGGGTTGAGGGAGAATGCAACGAGTCGCTATATAAAGCAGCCGCAGCGCCGCTACCTGCATATAAACCGTGTCGCGGACACCCCCATGTTCAAATGACGGTATGCATTACGGGGCTCCCAGGGGCAGATAAGAGTTGGTCTCTCTCCGAGAATAATTATGAATTTATGACATTTTCCCAAATCTGCAAAGCTCACTGGAAGGACACAAACCGAGGATAATATTTTCCTGATATAGGGTTTATTACTCAAGTAAGGGTAAAAAAGTATCTGAATAGAAGGCTACTTGAGTACTGAGTGTCATCTGATCTAATATTTTTAAAATGATGACATCAAACAGACAAAAAATAAGAAGTTATGGGCAAATATTGGTATTTTAAAGACTAAAGGGAAAAAATGTAAACAAATAAACAACATAATTACAAAATAACACATTTTAGGCAAAATTTAGACACAAACTGAGGACAATATTTCCTGACATACAGGGTTTATTTAATTGTGTGAAAATGTAGCACGTTTAAAAAAAATACCGCGATAATACCGAAAACCGTGGTAATTTTGGTCACAATAACCGTGAGGTTCAATTTTCACACCGTGACAACCCTATTTTACACACGGTATTAGTTCAGTTATTAGAATCTTAGATTGGACCAATCAGTGGGTCTCAAAGATTGTCTGGATGTTAGACAGTAGGTCCGTTTACTAAAGGAACTTCTGACGAATTAGACCAGACCTTCATACGTGCATGTCTCCATTTCATTGGGACCACTTTCTGGGGCATCAGGGACCAACCAAGTACCTGAACTTGGTTAACTCATGCTGACTGGCTGTAACTTGGTAGGAAACAACAACCACAGACACCGCCAAACACCCGGTTTTTGTATTATTGGAAGAGTTGCTACTGTAGGGGAATTAAAGGAAAGGAAAATTAGCTGCTTTATAATCTCTAAACTCCTAATGTCAAGAAGTGTGGCAGAAATGATCCGACAACACCGTAGTGGAGTTTTTCACCACGCTTTGTTGTCTCCTACAGAGCACCGTAAAAAATATCGTTCTTCTTTAGGTCATTGAATGCTGCTTTTTACACAACACAGTCATGCTCCAGGTCCCTGGATGGATTACTGTATAGTGCAAAACTTTTAAACTTATTAATGTTCCTGGATGCCTGTTGGCACTGAGCAGTGACATCACTCGCTGCCGAAGCAGTGGCGACATGCTGACGTCTTAGCAAAGTCGTGAAAGGGTCGATTTTATATGAGACAACAGAGGTATCTTATTTTTCCTGTCACCTTCCCCACTACCTGAAATTTCCTAAAACCTTTGTGTTTGTACCTGAACTGATCCACTCTGATTAGAACCTAAAATGTCTTTTATATAGCAGCCATTTCTCTAATTATTGCCACTTTATATTATTATTGTATCATGATTAATTTGTTACTTCCTATAGTTTCCAATCCTCTTATTTTTATCTTCCTTTCTTGCACCAAGTACTGCAGAAATTTCCTAATGTTGTGATTCTTGCACACATGACAATAAAACCCTTCTGATTCTGAAAACTCCTAAAGTGGAAACACGGTGAATGAATGCTTTGTCGTTTTATTTACTGACTGCACACACAGACCCCTGAACTCACCATGAGCTCGTACTCCACTCTGATGATGGGGCAGTCTAGTATGGAGGGGGACACTGGGGGGATCTTTAGCAGCTTGCCCTCCCAGCTCTGGCTTTTCCCCTGCTGCAAAGGCTCCCCGCGCAGGTTAGACACTAGCTGCTGGATCTGCTTGCCCTTGCCCTTGGCGACGAAGGTCTGCGTCTGGTATAGCGCCGCTTTAGGCACCACAACGCGGGAAGAGCAGTTTTCCACCTCTGCAAAGATCTGGATGGACTCACCTGGGGGAGATGGGAAAAGAGATCAGTCTGTCAGACTGAGAGAGAAGCGACATAAGTGAATTCTCAGACACTGAACAGTGGGAAGAGGAATTTGAAGAAGAGGTGTGTCTCACCTGGTGTGTAGCCCTTTCGTTCTATTTTGGCACTGAGGGAGATCGGACCTGAAGCACAGAACCAGCAGCACAGAGTCTTCTCCTTTGTTCCAGCCTGAGGTGCCTGTTTAAACACACAGTGTTGGGTGATTAAAGGGAAACGTTCACAGTAAAGAGGAGAAACCAGCTCATTTTCATCAGTTTTTAGACGACTGAGTACAACCGATCAGAGTATTGGTAAGAACATCTGTTTTTACTGGTGTGTAAGCAGATCCATTCATGTGACGTTGAGATTATTTTGGGCTAAGAACATAATAAGAGGGACTTGGGTCAGAATCTCACTGCTCGGATGGCCTTTATCTTAATTTTATCTCAATTGGTTCCTGCTTTTCTCTCATTTTGTTCAAATCTTTGTCCCCTTCCCGTCCTAAGGCTGTCTCACATTTGTCACACTTTCAGACTCATGTAAGCTACAGCAAGAACCTTTGGAGCCATTATCCAGACGCCCACAATGACGCTGGAGGAAGTGTGAGAGGAAACTGTCTCGTGAATGTTTTTCAGGCATGTTTTTATTTATTAATTTTTTTTTTTTTTTACATTTTCAAAAGACACTTGAGAAAATAAAAAAAAACAATTAAAAAAATTCATACAAGTTTTAGGAGATTTTGAAATTTCCCAACAGGCTCAGCCCATTCTGGCGTTCATTTCAAATATGCCAGAGTTCAGATGTCATCAGTGACTCAGCTCTTTATACTGTCTGAGTCCTGGGTCTCGCAACAAAAGCACGCACAAGAGAGCAGTTGGAACTACAGGAAGTGTCCGTTCCTACCAGCAGGAGCGGTGTGTTGATGTCGATGTGCTCAAACACAATGAACTCCTTCTTGACTTTGACGGGCAGCAGCCAGGGCCGGTGGAGCTCAGCTTTCACCCAGTACCTCACGCTGCCATGCTTCCCTTCAAAGGAAGTGGCCAGAGCCCTGAAGGAAAGAAGCATGAGGGGTTGGGGATTGGGAGTATGGGTGGTCTGTGGCTGCGCACTGTGTCTGAGTTCAAATCCTCACATGCTTCACTTCAACTACCAGAACACAACAACGTGTTATGAAAAAGGCGATCTGGCCTGCTGACCCGCTGTCTGACACGGTTTTGTTGTAGCTCTGACGCTGGTCGAGGCAGAGCTCGCTTTAATGATTTTCAGACATGCCTAGTTAGATTGGACCCCCGACAGGGCTCTCAGGACGTTCACGTGAAAGCACGATCTCTAGGAATGGAAACCTTTTTTCTTTCTCACATTGAGGATGTGAAATCTCTAATAATACGAAGAAGCTTTGGCTTTAAACAGGATCAATAAGTAATGAGTGCATCGTTGGTGGAAAGACTAGCAGATCTAAAAAATAATTTTGTGCTTGGCCCAAATAGTCTCATTTTCCATTGTTTTAGACTCTACATATGTCATTTCCTGTACAAGGACATTTCTGTTAAAAGGGTGTGAACAGGTCACATCTTACCTGTTGTATGGAGCTCTTTGAACAACCTCAGTTTGGAGAAGTGGAAATTAGCTCTCAACAGAATGATAAGCTAATGGCTAATCACACCGGGGATTTCAATTATGTTAAAGCAATTCAAAAATTGCAAATGAATACTGACTTTTAAACCATTACACTGACTTGTGTTACACGCTGAACAAGACAATCTGGAGCTAGCTAATTATGCTGCTAACGTTCTCTGCAAATAATCACTAAATTCCATGTTTTACACTGTGTAAAGGTTTTATGACATATCAAGTAATTGATGATATTTTAGAGTAAAGTTTGAACAGCAGAAGTCCACTTTGATCTTGGCCCTGGTTTAACTAGCTGTTTGCCCATCAATCTGACCTGTTTATCCAAACTGAGGTCACTCAAAGAGCAAGAAAGATAAAAATTGTTCATGACCTTTCAGCTTAAGCCCACTTCTAAAAGAGCTGACCTATCCCAACACACTGCGAAGGATAAAAAACATCATTACTCACATCTGAGGAAGGCTGAAGCTAAAGGCGAACTCGTGCAGACCCGCGTGCAGGATGGTCAGACCTTCTTCTGGACCATCTTCATCTGGAAGACAGAGAACATGTGTCCAAATAAACCTAAACTCCACAGACAGACGTCTCATAACACAAACTGTTATGAAGCCTGGTTACACAACAGACACTCATCACAGCAGAGGACTTGTCCCCAGCTGTCAGATGTATGCCAGAACCGAATCATCACAACACCACAATTCAATTCAAGTTTATTTATATAGCGCCAATTCACGACCAGAGTTGTCTCAAGGCACTTCACATAATAAACATTCCAATACAGGTCAGTTCATTAAGCCAATCAGAAAAAAGTTTCCTATATAAGGAACCAAGCAGATTGCATCAAGTCACTGACTAATGTTAGTGCCTTTACAGCAATCTTCATACTAAGCAAGCATGCAGTGACAGTGGAGAGGAAAACTTCCTTTTAACAGGAAGAAACCTCCAGAGGATCCTGGCTCAGTATAAGCAACCATCCTCCATGACTCACTGGGGATCGAGAAGACAGAGCAGACGCGTGCTCGCACGCACGCGCACACACACGCACACATACCAAGTAGTGTTTCTATGGTTTTTTAAATTTATTTATTCACTTCAGACCATTCAAACAAATTAAAATCAAATAAAAAAAAAAGTCTTATTTAGAGAATTTAGAGATTCCTCTTTGGTCCTTAACTCATTCACTGCCAGCTGTTTCCTGATAGCTAACGGCCTTCGCTGTCACCGTTTCTCACCGTTTTTACTGTATTTTTAAGAGTCACAGAACGTTGCGTGCTAGGATGATGTCGACTCCAAAACAACCAAAACAAAGAGTAGACTCGCCTCTTACATCAGGAAGAATTCGCGTGTTTCGAGTGTTATCCGTTCTTTCATAATCCGTTGTTGAATTGTGATCGGCAGAAGCTTTTCCAGTTCGCGCCTCATCTTTTTTACAGGAACGGCCCAAAACGATCTCCTAACACATGGATGTTCTGCTTCCTGATCACGTGACGTGTGACGTATGCGGATGAAGATCAGCTTCAGGGCTGAGATGTTTGTTCTCTCAGCGCGGGGGCTCGTTCCGATGCTCAAACAGCAAAAAAAAAAAAAAAAAAAAAAAAAAAAAAAAAAAAAAAAAAAAAAAAGCCACGACTTTAGTCGTCATTGGCAGTGAATGAGTTACACGGGAATAGGGAGAGGCTCAAGGCTTTTCAATGTCATATCCCTCACCATCTTTCCATTTCCAAAATCCAAATAAACATCTCTACACATACATCATAAACAAAATAAATCAGCAAAATTTCAATTTTCACATTAGCAAGAACTCATATAAACACTTATACTTTACATCTTAAATAAAAACCAAAATAAAAATTCTAAATGAGATCTTATTGACTTAGCAAATTAGTAATTCAAATGGTTACATTGTGATATCTTAGTAAATATTCTATTTGGTGAGAGATAAACTTTATTGCATTTATCCTAGTCAATCTATAATTAAACAGGTAAACTAGTAGTAGCACATTCAATGTCAAAGAAAGTAAAATGTTAATATTAGGAGAGGGAGAATGTTTAAGTGGTTAGCAACAGTGTTCAAGCCGATGGCCCCCTCAAGTGTGGCTCTCTCTAATCACTTAGATGCACTCAACAGTTCACTTAGAAAAGCAAATAATTTGTTTTTCTCTTGTCTGCTGAATGTCTGAGCAAGTCAAACGATTCCTGGTTTCAGACCCACAAGCACTCTCCTGAGCCAAAGTGAAAATCAAGTTGAGTTTTATTTAATAGAAAACCATAAAAAAAAATCCAATACAGCACAACTATCTTTGATGTTTGGATAAAAACTGCATTTTCAGATAATTGTTTTGGAAAATTTGTTTTCTGAAACAGAATTTTAATAAAAGTGTTTTAGGTTTATTATTTTTTTTCTTTCAAAATTGCAAAATTTCATAAATTTAGATAAGTTTTTTTGAACTGTTATTTTACTTCATATGTATTCCAAAACATTATTTTCTCAACGGTTTATGAGGCTATGTGTTGTATAAATGATATCATAGCTAACCACTGAGTGTAATCTGGTGTGTGATAGTGGACAGCTACCACAGGAGCACAGACTTCCTGGTTTTTACATCGTTTGTTTCTCAGTTTGCTTCCAGCCGACCCTGCTGAACTTCAGCTTCCTGCCACCTCATCTCCCTTCATCTTCTCTACCATTCACGAGCGCGCGCATGCGCGCCGGGTGTACAAGCAGGAGCAGACCGGTATGAACCAGACTAAGCAGCTTCTTCCAGCTGGAAACTCCAGCGCGTGCATCACAACTCGACACGCCATTGGACGAGCGACAGACACGAATCGCAAGCTGCTTGCTGATTGGCTAGTCAGCGACAAGCCCCCGCCCACCCCAGCCCATCCATGCGGTGTGCTGCCTGAGTGGGGGACGAGGGGGGAGGCAGCGAGAGCGAGGTAGGGTGTTGTACTCTGAAGATGAACCTCAGGCGGACCTGCTGCATTCACGCGAACAATTTAACTCTAAACGCTATCCCATAATCACAATTTTCAGCCACATTTCTCAACTTTTATCAATTACAACACTAAGTGATCATATGCATCATGTTTTCAGTTTGTTTTCTCTTGTTAAAGGTATTTCTGATTAAAAACAATCATATTATAGTAATTTCTACTGTTAATTGTCATCAAAATCTTTCTTTCTTTCAGTGACATTTAAAAGAGGAGTTATTTTGAAGTGCAGAGCTTAATAACACATTTTTCTACAGACTAAGTCTGGTACCAACCAGCAGGTGAGTTTCCTCTGCTTTTTCTACAGATATGTCATCAGCAGAAACATGGTGTAATATTGCTGCTGGCAACACAAAACTAGACATAGTTAAGTGACCTCAGGCAGATTTCTGCTCATAGAATTTAAATTAATTCAGATGCCACTGAATTCTGTATATGCTCAAAAGTAGAATCATGTTGTACTGAAGACAAAACTATAGGTAAACATTCTAAATCTGTTTAACCCTGTCTCATTAATAAATTAATTGTTATTTTATGGCCAAATCTCTCAGTCTATCTTTAATAAAACATACTCAGCTCCAGTAAATAATCACACACAAGATTTTGAATTAAATTAAATATTTAGCAGTGAAAAATGCATCCAATTAAATAAATTAACTAACTATTACGTAACTAATTAGCCCACAATGATAAAAGGATGCTCCAAAAATAAGTAAATACATTGAAAGGGCAGATTGTTTTGTTTAATTAAAAATATAAAACATTTTCCTTTGAATTCTGAAATATTTTCACCTTTTCTGATAGAGTTTTTAAATTGTTTTTAACAAACCTGTTTTATGTGATATTGATGAAAGAATATGAATGAGTTAGTTCTGATAACACTGAAAATGTTTGGTTTGGTGTGTATTCTCTCTTTTTTTTAAAGTTTACTGATGTTTTCAGACGACTTATTTGAGAAACATCAGGAGGGCCAAGCCTTCTTCAGGTTTAAACAAACCACTTGACCCCTGACCCTGACCTGCTTGTCCAACCTTCAACAGACTGTTGATAACAGGAGGAGCCATCTCCATGGGTTGAAAGGGTGAATAATCCAGTGAAGCTGCAGCTGGTGGTTTGTTTGCATGAGGTAAAGATGCTCCTGGAACTGATCCTATTTCCATAAAACCTCTAACTGTCTCTGCAGCTAATTTACATGCTTACAAACAGCAGCAGGACACAAGCAGCAGCTGAGACATTATAACACACCGAGGGCCAGCCTGGTCCTCCCCCTCCCCTCCCCCGTCTCTCTGGCAGTTTCTGAACAGGTTTGAACCGCTTCTAACAAAGGGAGTTGCCTGAGCTGCCTTTCTGAATGATGTCAGCGCTTTAATCGCCTTTCTGCCTCAATATCACTCCAAACGTTGGTTTAAAATACAAAATGCTTCAGATTAATTTGTATCTTGGTCCGTTTTGTGTTTTATTTCGAAGTGTTTAGAACTTTTCTTCCTACCCATCATCACCAGAAGCGTGTCGCGTTCAGAAGATGCGCGCTCCAGATGACTGGAACTCGGATGGGAGCAGTTTGTGTTTTTCTTGAGATGGTTCAAAAACTAATTCAAGTATATCTGACCAGATCTGCTTCCATCTCTGCTCTGATAAAAGTTTCTCTGACGCGCTGTCAGAAGTTTGCGGTGATCCACTAAAACGCGTCTTTTCACGCACTTTCAGTCTCACCTCTCTCATCTCCGATCAGGGTGTCGTAGTGGTGCAGGTATTCCACCTCCTCCGTGTAGTTCTGAGTGTAAGCTGTGTTGGCTCCGGCGTTCCTGGACTCCGTCCACCGGACCTTGGCGACCCCGCGCGCCGTTATGTCCAACCTCTTCACCCGCACATCCCCAGTGACCTCCACCACCAGCCGCCCCGACACCAGGTCTCCTCCAGAGAATACCGGCAGGTTGTTCTCGTTCAGGCTGTCAAAGTACACCGCCAAGGCCCGAACTTTACCAAGAACCATGATGGTGATGAGCTAGTTTAAAAAAGGTTAAAAAAATGTGTTGTGACTTGAGAGCAGTGAGGCGCAGATTCATGCGCCTCGCTCGGGGTGCCCAGCACAGAGCCGGGTCTGCAGCTGTCAGTGATGGCTCATCTGGCAGCTGATGATCCGCTCCAGCTCTCCTCCTTCGTCAGCACTCCTCCTCAGGCTGTGCTCGCTGCTCCTGCTCACTCTGATGCCTCCTGCGCGCAGCCACTGCGCTCTTAAAGCCTCTGTGCGTATAAAAAAAAACATCTCACTGAGCATGTGCGCTCAGACTGATACGCTGCCCTGTTGGAGCTCTCACACACACCGGAATCTCAAAATTCGGATTTATTCAGTTTCCCAAAGTCAACCATCGGGGAAAAAAGCGGATGGTCACAATAGAATTTCACACAAACACCAGTTCTGGTTACATTTGTACCTCACTTTAAAATCTAGTTTATCTCAGTAACCCGTTTTATGGCCCTTTCACAGACTGTATATGAAGGTGTTAAAGCTGTATAAGCAAATATGCAGAGGTGGAAAGAGTACTAAAATGTTGTACTTAAGTACAAGTATAATTACTTACATGAAATTTTACTCAATTACAAGTAAAATTACCTGCCTCAAAATGTACTCAAGTAAAAGTAAAAAGTAGCTTATTTCAAATGTAGTCAGAGTAAAAGTTACTTAGTTACTTTTTTGACTGCAAGGACGGGCTCTTCTGAATAGTTAAAAAAAGACAATGGGGTATAAATGTCAACGTGGCCGTTTTTTTAATTAAATGAACAAATATGCATATTGAAGTACAAAGGCAGTTACACTGCAAACTAGTGACATAAATTAGGTTATAGTCACAAGCCCATGACTTTCCCTGAATGCTTATTTAGAGCAGCTGATTTTTAAAGTTAGCAGAGTTCATCTTTGGTAGTGGGTTCACTCACTCATTTAAAGATATCGGCCAGAGGCAAAATTCGCTTGAACAGCATGTGTAAATGTGTATTAAAACCTCAGATGAAAAAGGTTTTGGGATTTTGATGGCTGGAATTGTAAGAAAATCTGATGTTTGTGACTGGCGCAGGAAAAACAGAAACTAACGTCCGGTCTAAGCCCTGGGCAGCTGGTGACGTTTCACATGGAGCTCTGCTGAAACAGCTGTAGTAAACAACGCCTAGCTCCGCTGTTTCTGTGTTAGCGTTATAGCAGAGAACAATGTGTCATCAATCAGATGTAGCTTCTGAAGCCTCTACTAGTCCATCAGATTTGTTTTTTCTCTGGGAAACGGCGACGAGAACGGATGTTAGATTACTGGAGAAGTTCAACCGAACTCCGACCCCGCCAGCTGGATATTACTACCAGAGGTGCAGACATGTTTTAGACCGTTTGACTCAGAAGACCTGCGACCTGATTTGGACATAGAGGAGGATTCTGTTCATCTTCAGAACCAAAATCGGTACAGTTTGTTTACTTTTCTTAAATATTTCATTTCTGTGCTCCACTGGGAGCTCTAAGCTGACAAGTTTTCAGCTGGTTTTAGCTCCATCTTGTGTCCCAATATAGTTCAGTAATCTACAGTTTTACTGCTTTGTGTATTTATTGACATAACTCTGGAAAATATTTAACCGACAATTTACCAGAATAAATCTTCCTGATGCTGGAGTAACTCCTTAGCTCAACTCGTTGTTTGCACTAATCCAGGATGTCATGGAGGTTCTAATGTTGAAATATAGATTTCATCTTTTAGATTATATCTGTGTGTGTGTGTGTGTGTGTGTGTGTGTGTGTGTGTGTGTGTGTGTGTGTGCGTGTGCGTGTGTGTGTGTCGTAGCTTTCCCAAAGGACTTGTTCTTTCCTTACTGGAGCGAACACGGTTAGTTTTGGCAGTCATGCTAACGGGACTCGTCTAGAGTCCAGAAGTAGCGGTGCAGTTCTAGATGGATTTATAGATGTAAGTTATTATTTTAGATCAGACCTGTTATTTAAAAATGCGGATAGGACACGGACACATGGCTCAGACCTTTTGCTGCAGCTGTAAACACAATTTTACGTAATAATTAGGAGCATGAAAGTAAATAAATAACAGTGATTCACAATATTAGCATCAGCAGCTAGCTTGTTTTACGTGCTGAGTGACGTATGCGAAACACAGTTCTTCACTGTCTGGAGGAGAGGATTTGGATTTTCTGTAATCATTTATGACAAAAGTCCTTAATAAAATAAAAAACTGGACCCAGTACATGTTTATATAGATAATAAAGTGTAGTTATTTTGCATTTCTACAATTTTAATGCCCAGCCAATATCTTTAACCCTTCACCACTGAAATCAGTGTGTTCATTCCAATCCTCCTAAATAATCCTCCAATCATCCAACTGGAATCCTTAAGGGTCCCGTAACGTCCATCCTGTCAGAACAGGCCGTGGGAGCCCAGGTGTTACTAGAACTAATGGTGTCTCCTCACCAGCGTGAGCCTCCAATCTGTGAAGGTTGGTCTCCAAACATGAACTTTAAATTCATGCATTTATCTCCTCTTGTAACACTTTAACATGTTTTAAAAAGGCTTGCATCATGATAAGTTACACCTCCCAGACCAAAGATAGGTCCAATATGAGATAAAATATTATCATAAACACTGCAGAGACATCATTGTTTATTAAATATAAGTTATTTTCCTGAGCCATTACTTCAGCCAAGATATTGGATGCATGGATTTGATGAAGACACGCTGTCTTATGCAGTCCTACACACACACACACACACACACACACACACACACGCACGCACGCACGCACGCACACACACACACACACACACACACACACACACACACACACACACTGCAGCATGTTAGAATCATTTGAATGACTAATTTAACTACACTGAACTGCTTTTGTAATAATTTAATCTCTTATTCTGGAGTAAAATAAAGAAACAAGCTAAATCATCACATATCTGTGGCATCAAGGAGCATCTTCCGAGTTCAAACACAGGGATGGAGCACATTGTTTACACCTGAACAGTATCAGGATTAACTCACAGAGGCCTGCAGGTCTTCTGTTTTATGAGCAGAGCGCTGAGAATCCGCTTCTTAGGAGCGCTAAACGTAATTTTGCCGCTTCCGTGCGCGGTATGGAAACACGTTTCAAACACGGAACCGAGTCTGGTTGCCGAACCGAGCAGAATTCTGATGACGTCACACCGGTGCGCGAAGGTGCGGGTTTCACCACAGGAGAGGAGGGAGAGAGGAGGTGAACAGCGAGTGGATCACAGAACTTTTGTTTTTGAGCAAAACTGCGGTAAAAATGGCTATTTGTCCTCATCATAAAGCATGTACCCCCCACCCCCCCCACCCCCCGGTTTAGACGTGGTGCTCATGCAGGTGTCTCTTTCTGTTCCGACGCTGCTACACATAATATTTTTAATTTATTAAGCCTACAATTTATTTTTACTCAGTAACGGATATGATTTAAAATGTAGCAAATTACAATTCTTTTTTAAAAACTTACTCAAGTAAAAGTAAAAGTACAGATTTTAAAAACGACTTAAAAAGTATAAATTTACAAAAAAGCTACTCAATTACAGTAACGTGAGTAAATGTAATTCGTTACTTTCCACCTCTGCAAATATGGTAAACAAATAAGCTCAAAACATTTTTCATACCTTTTACAACTTTTAACATAGTAGCCTATAAATATATTGTGGAGATTTTTTTTATTGAAAAAAATAATGGAGTGGTCCTTTCGCGTTCGACTAAAAGCTTTAGCCAATAACACGTTTAGAACTGAAAGCATCGAGTCCTCCACCTATTACTTTACTTATAAAACCCCTTTCATGACCTCATCAGACATGAAAATCAGAAACACGATATAACATTAACAAAGGGAAATAAAATGCAAACATTAAAAACAGTAAAAATAATAGCAGGACAATGGTGCCAAGCCACTTAGTGGTGGAAAGCTAAGACATAAAAATGGGTCTTCAGACAGACTTAAAAACCATGACTGGCGTACAGCCGGAAGTAGCTCATTCCAGAAGCTTTTTGGACCCATCACACATACGATCCCCCATGACATACATTTGGAGCAGAGAACTACTTACAGTTCTCTATCAGCAGAGCAAAGAACCCGTGATCGAGCATGCCTCTGCAGGAGGCCAGTGGTATGGTGGTGCAGCTCCCTGAGGAGCTTTGTACACCAGCATCAACATTATGAATTTGGCCCTGAAAGGCAGCAGGAGCCAATGTAAAGAGGCCAGAATGGGGGTGTTGTGCTCCCTGCTTGTGCCTGTCAAGAAACTCCCTGCTGAGTTCTGTACCAACTGCAGTCATGCAATGCAATCACAGTTCAGGCCGGCATACAACCGCATTGTAGTCATCTAATCTGGAAAGGACTAAAGCATGAGTAAAATTTAAGTAACTTTAGTCATCATCACACTGGATGAAATTCATCTGCATTTGACCCATCCCCATGGGGAGCAGAGGCTGCACTCAGGAACTAGTTTGTGGTTTATCTTCACTTCCAAAAGTGATGTTGTTTTTCAGTCATCAAAAAGAAGAAAAAAAGGAAAGACAATGGAATGTTTAAAGGGAGGAAAACATAGACCAAAATGGAAAATAGAAGAAAGAAAAAGAAAGGCAAAAGCACAGGAGCACTGACAGGAAGAAGAAAGCAGAGCAAATATTGAAGACACTCAAAGGGAGAGAAAGACAGGAAAAAAAGCAGAGGACTAATAAAAAGGGAAAATAACTCATGTCAGAAGAGGGTAGAGCCAATCCAGTTAAAGATAAGATTGTCGAAAATTTTGGGTATGGGGGGCATCATGTCTGTGTTCGCCTTGGGCCCCCAAATTGCTAAATGTGCCACTGGCTGACTGTCAGGCAGGGAGGCATTGAGTCCCATTTTGAGTTAGCCTAGTGAACTAGACCAAATTCTTGCTTTGCAAATTTTGGGTTAGGGTTAGCCTGGCTTGGCTTGCCAGGCTAATTTTGAGTCCCATTTTTAAAGTCTTTGGTATGACCCAACCCTGCTCAAACTTCTCCAAAAACATCAACAAAGACTACCTCCATCGGGTCAGCCATTATGAACTAAAGGTTGACCGACATTAGTTTTTCTATTGCTGATACCGATGTTGATATATAGAAGACATGGTCAGCTTTTTATGGGCCGATATCCAGACATTTTCCCCCTTATTTTCATGTTAAAATGTCACTAATAACATCAATTAATGCACAAAATT